CTACAAGATCGATCCCTCCTCAAGAACAGATTTATGATAACACATGGTCAGATTTTGAACAAGAAGAGGAGTGGAATATTGAAGAACCGTCCGGTTCAACCGGCATTAAGGAAGCTTCTGAAACGTCCTCAATACCCGTTGAATGAGAAGATCCTTCGCTGGTGGAGATAGTAGAAACTTTCTCCAAAAGTTACACTTTTGAGTGGAGTTTGGTGGTGTTGATGCTGTTGTCATCGTTATTTTCGACGATGTTGCTGTAGATCTTTGGCCTCTTGTTCTTGTTCCGATGGAGATTCTTGTTGCTGCGGTTGAATCTTTCGGAGGGAGACGTTGTTACTTTCGTTGATTCGTGCCTGGTACATTATAGCCAGGTGTCGATAAGTAATGTGTTCCAGATGGGCAACTATCTCGAGAATACTATTCAGGATCTGGTGGATAGTAAGGTGCGAATAGAAGATTTTCCTCTTATCACCATCTGTTTGATGGAGGATGTCTTCTATTCTTCGGACAATCGAAGGCTTTATTGCTTCAAGAAGGCGATAAAGCGAGGGTTGGATGTTGACAGGATACCCGTTCGAATAAGACGGGTGTCTGACATCAACATTGGTTGGAAGATGGAGGGAGCGTATCGGGTGGTGTGGAACACCAACTTTAAGGAGGTGGTGGTGAGCCCCTTGTCGAGAAATGGGAGGGTTGCTGATGGTGAGGGCTATTGGGAGTACCGTATTTAAATGTATCTTTTTTCTAATTATACTGTATTTATATTTAATTATTTGTAAATAAAGCATGTGATTTGTACATAAATTCCAGCACATTCTACGTTTTTGTTTATTTTAAAAATAAATTTAGTATGAATCTAATTTTGTCAGGTTCATAGTTTGAATGGTGTTGATCTATAAATATGTTAATTTGTATTGATTTTATTTTGTATATTTGTTTACGTTAATTTTCAAGATGTCTTTAGTTTTGTCTCGTCATTTGTTCTTAATTATGGAAAAGTAATTATTATTTATTAATTTATTTTATTATAATTATTAAATTATTAAATATTTTTTAGAGAAACTGTTTATAAATTTTTAGACGAATGGGCCAGTGAATATTTTGAAAATAATAATTCCATCTCTATAACCGAACATAACAATCAAATTAACAAACTTCATAATCGTTATTCGAAAGAAAAAGAAAAAGAAAGACAGTTTATAATTACTGTTTTGATGTTTATTTTTATGTTTATTTTCGCATTAGTTTTTATTTTTTGTCTTTACCAAGAGAAGGCGGTCGCGTCTGTGGTGACTGCGTTGGTCACGGGTTTAACCGCGTATTTTCAATCTAAGAACATGTAATTTGTGTAATCAAATATTTACAATTACATATTTACAATCTGAATAAACGTGATCTGTACATAAATAATTTTGTTTATTTAAAATAACTTTAGTATGAATCTAAATTTGGTCAGGTTCATAGTTTGAATGGTGTTGATCTATAAATATGGTTAATTCATATTAGTTTGTTTTGTATATTATTCGCGTTAATTTTCAAGATGTCATCTTTAGTTTTATCTCAACGCATTTTTTTAACCATGACTCAGTAAGATTGTTTTTTTATTATCTCTTTATTTTGTTTTTTTTTAATTTTTTGTTTATTTAGAGAACAAGTTGACAATTATCTTGAAAATTATATTAACAATTGGCACGAAAGAAACCGAAATGAAACAGAAATGTGTCCACATTATGAAGAGATGATCAGAATTAATAATAATCACAATAAACAAAGAGAAAAAAGAGAAGCAAAGGAACGTGATGAACGAGAAAAGCAAAGGCAATATGATCGGAAGAAAGACAAAAAGAACATGAGGAAAGGGAAAAAAGGGAAGCAAACGAACGAGAAGAGAGACAAAAAGATCGTGAAGAAAGACAAAAAAGTGAGAATAATATATACTGTTTTATTATTTTATTTTTTTTCTTTTATTGTATGTATAACCACAATACTTTAGGTTCTGTTTCATCCGGTGTGGTTACTGTCATTCTTAAGTATATAGAATATATGAGAAATTAAGTTTTATTTTTTTTTAAAAATTAAAAGAATTATATAAATCATATAAAGTAATTTCAGAAAAAATAAACATTTTTTATTATAAATTTTAATAATTTATTAAATAAAATTATACAATTATTCTTTTTTAATGTTCATTTCATCGACGGAATTATCAGAATCATCGTTTTCACTATCGTCAAGGTTAAACCAGTAATGCTATTAAGTGCGTTATCTAATCTTTTTTTTCTTTAGTTTCTCTCTTTGAACGTTCATTTTCCAATGTTTCGCTAGTTTTCTTGAAGTTATGAATGATGTATTTTTTTTGAGAATTGATGAGTATATTTTTGTTTTTTTTGTTGTTTTTCTTTTTTTCACAGGATCGTAGTAGATTACGTATTTCATCGGGTGTTCGATCAGGTAATATTGCGTGTCTGGCATTGGATATTGTGGTTCTTTTCTTTTGTACGTAACGTCTAAACAGATGATACCATCGGGAATATTGATTTTTTCATTTTGTTTGTTTAAAAAAAAAAAGAATCTTGCGATGTTATCTTTTCCTTGGATCGTTTCTATTTTGATTTTGAATGGTAGGTTTTCAAATTCTTGAATATCATGATCGTGTTCCAGTTCTCCTTTGATGTTTCGCTTCCCAACGTTTAGAGCGCCGACCAAGGACATTTTGCTAAAGTGGTTCACATATTTTTTCTTATTTTTTACTTTTGGCATTTATATTTCCTTTATGGTAAATTGTTTCTCGTTTTATTCATTTGCTAATCTAAATTTAGTATTCCGAGCATAATTGCGTATTTGTATAAATCCGGATTTGGCTGATCCGATAGCATGCATGTGAGATTACGTAAGCGAATGTGACTTATTGATATTTTGTTTTGTTCTTTTATTAATTTTTTTTAATTAGACAAGTTGATGATTATCTTAACAACTGGTATGAAAGAAGACGAAATGATGAAAATTGTCCACATTACGAACATAAAAAAGAGATAATCAAACTTAACAACCAATTCAATAAGCAAAGAGAAAAAAGAGAAGTAAAAGAATGTGAAGAAAGAGAAAAACAAAGACAATATGAGCAAGAAGAAAGACAAAAAGAAAGAGAAGAGAGACAAAAAGATCGTGAAGAAAGAGAAAAAAGAGAACAAAAAGAAAGAGAAGCAAAAAGATCGTGAAGTACAGCAAAAAAGAGAAAATAATTTGTATTGTTTTGTTATTTTATTTTTTTTCCTTTACTGTATGTATGATCATAATACTTTAGGTTCTCTTGCATCTGGCGCGGTTACTATTATTCTTAAGTATATAGAATATATGAGAGATTAAATTTTATTTATTTAAATAATAAATAAAGATTAAATCGATTAAATTTATTTAAATTTATTAGTTTCTAATAAATTAAGTAATTTTCTTTCTGTTGTTTTTATGTTTGACAGAGTTTTCAAGATCAAGTTTTTCCTTTTATTTTCTAACATTCCGTTAAAATTATTCATTTCTTCCGATTTTTTATAATATTTGAATTTCTTGTTTTCATTCTTTTCAACACTCATTCCATTAGAATTATTCATGTTTGTCGATTTTTGATAACAATATTCAAGCCAGTATATTCCATTTAACAGAGAAATAATGAGATTGAAAATCCAGATAAAAAAGTCTTTGAGATAGATATAAATTAGGTAGACGAAAATAAAGTGATTGATAAAATTTTTAAAAAGATAAAAAAACAGGAAGAGGATAGCTTTAAGATAGATATAAATTGGGAAAAAAATGAATTTTTTGAGATAGATATAGATCAGGAAGAGGAGGACGATGATTGCTTTCAACATTTTAACGGTTATTGATTGAATTGTAAGATTTTACAAAAGAAAGGAGGTATTTTTAACATTTTTTTAACAATTATGCTTTAATGGGTAGGTCATTTAAGAGTTATTTTCTTGGATTGATAGTTTTTTATTTCATGTGAATCGCGTGTATAATTTATTTCTTCTGTATCTTTTATTCGTTTTCTTCGCGGTGTATACGTATTTTACCAAATTAGTTATTTATAAATGAAGCGTGTGAATATTAATCTTAATTAAAAATTTCATAGTTGTACACATGTGAATAATAAAAAAAATGTGACGACTCAGCTGATCACTGGATTTGGCTAATACTTATGCATGCATGATGACTCATAGTTTGATTTATAATACAAATACCTGTGATTGCGCCCAATCTCACGATTTTCTCACCCTTTCGCTCGTGGTTTTATCAGAGGGACGGTAGAGAACACCCGCATCTTAATATCCGAACAGGGAGAAGCATAGTCTCTTGTGAGGGAGATGAACACGATGTGAGGCGGCGAATGACGCATGAGATAACCATCTTTTTGGTGAAGCGTATTCACATCTCTCTGGTTGACACGGGCGAAACGGTCATTTTTTCTATCGCTTCAGATGGTCGTTATTAAGTTTTGGCCAGGTTCTCCACCTCGAGGGCGAACGAAAAACTTAGTGTTTGCATTTTAAATGCACCTTGAGGAACGTCTCGAGGAACAGACGTGTTTAGGCTTTTTTCTACCATAGAGAGTAAAAAGCACTTTCAAATGTTAGTCATCTCGGGGCACACTACAACAATTTACCGGTTAAATTGTAAGGCTTATAACGCTGAGATGCGACTCGATCCACTGATATTTAGGCTTTTGGCAGCTGGATCTGAACTACAAAAGTCAAACTTTTCATGAGTTTTACGATCATGGTTATTGTTCATTCATGGCTTGGGATCCGAACATAATCTCCCCAGTAATTTGGATTCACGTCCGAATTGATCGTTTGCTCTTGTTTTTTTAGAGTCAAGCGATATGTACCTCCCTGTGGTTTGACTTGGGCAATGCGTTTTTATTTTAAACGTAGCTAAACATATCAACTTTATTAAATTTTGATTAAAATGCAGGATATCCGTTACGATTACCAGTTTGTTTGTCATGTTTTAACTTGAAATCTATTGCTTTTTCTTTTGTTTTAAACCATTTTAATTTATGTTTTTTATTTTCACACCATTGAAATCCCCATCTTTTTTGTATTTTATCATAATAAATTCCATTATAACCGGATGTATTTGTTTTAAGCAATTTGCAATTTAATTTGTTTTGAGAATATGTTGTTTCTCTTAAATTTATTTCACGATTATCAAGACCGTTTCGATTGATATGATCAATCATTTTGTATTTTGGTTTGATTAAACGATGAAAATAGTAAAATTTTTTATTAATCGTCGTTATTATATAATATGTATTTCCAATTTTATTTGCACACCAAGTGTGATTCTTTAGATGCTCAAAGTTTTTATAATCAGTGAGAAACGTGATGTCCAGTTTTTGGGTTTTCACTTCGAGGTATAACCTGTTGTTTATCTTTACCGTACGATACTCGTTTAGCTTGAGTCTGGGTTTCTCCGGATTGGTGATCTTGTTCCATGTTAAGGCAGCTTCGAATGATGGGAATTTCGATTTCCAGTTCATTGTTGATCAATAAATTTCCTAATGTGGAATCTTTATTTAGTAATTTTTCAAGTTTAT